AAAAAAAAAAAAAAAAAAAAAAAACCAAACAATGCATTCTATATCTAAAAAAGGCATTCTTTAATAGCATAAAAAGCAAACCACCTTCAGAATTCGTTATGCTGATAACAAATTGTGTTTTCATAAAATTCCCTTTCATAATTTACTCTTTCAACTTATTAATTTCTTAATCCTAGTAAAACATCAAAATCAGAGTTCAATTGCTAGCCACTACTTTTGATTAAAAGACATTATTAGACTGTCGTATGAGATTACTAACAGGAAATTTAATGATACATCAATTATTGTCTTATGCAGAAAGAAAAACTCAACTCCCACTAAAACACTAAATAAGTGAGAAACAGAAAATACCTTTTGTGCGGCGCAACATTATTGCCCGCAGAACAGCTTGAAGCTTCCTGTAGCCAGTCACAGAATCTCTTGATATTCGAAGTTTTATTCCTTCATAAAATAATTTGTATGTATCATACGGTCCATATCTTAGAAACCTGAAGTAGCTGTACAAATCATCAATAGCATTTTGTATAGGTGTTCCAGATAAGCACCACCTCCTTTTGGCTCGAAGACTGCAGCAGGCTCTAGCTACTTGAGTGCGATGATTTTTTATTGTTTGAGCTTCATCCAGTATCACCCTAGACCAGCCCACTCTGGCCAGTGGACCCCAATCAGAATCAATAGAGGAGTCATCATATCCTTTTCTACCCTTTTTCCCCCTCTTACCAGAATTAGATGCCTTTTTTCTCTTCTTGTTAATTGAAAATTCAGAAGACAACCCATATCTTTCCCTGGTTTTTTCATCAGCCTCATTCTCATCAACTAAAGGTCGCTTAGGAACTTCAATAGTTACAATTGAATATGTCGTCAAAACCACATCATATTTGGCCAATTCAGCAGGATCTTTGGTACGAGTGGCTCCATGGTAAACTAAAACAGAAAGTTTAGCTTCCTCTGCAACTTTCTCATCCAGCTCCCTAGCCCACTGTCGCAAAACACTTGCTGGGCACACAACCAATGTACCAGCTGCTAACCTCCGTTTACTGGATGCTCGTGTACTATTCACTTCAGGAATTGGCTTAACTTCTTCAGATTCTCCAATCTGCTCTTCTTTATCCAACCCACCATTATTATCATCACCATCATCATCAAGTTTCAGTATTTCAGTTTTATGATTAACACCAGAAGATTCTCCAACCAGCTTTTCCTTATATAACCCACCATTATTATTATTATTACTATCATCATCATCATCATCCAGATTCAGTGTTTCAGTTTTATGATTGCAATGTTCTTCTGATTTCGATTTGGACTCCTTAGACCTTTGCATTTGTATAAGAGCAATCATTGAGACAGTTTTACCAAGGCCCTGTTAGATCAAAGCATCATAAGTCTAAATGGATAACTCATATTAAAATCCAAAGAGAATTATTTCACAAGTGATGCACTTAAACATATTTCATAATTGGCCTCTTAGACATAACCTGATCATCAGCCAAGATTCCACCCAAGCATGGTCCACCTCTGTTTTCCTTTTGAAGCATCCACGACAATGCAATCTTCTGTAATATCAAAATTTAATGAATACCAAATGAATCACATTAAGAAACATTCACACCAAAAGGTAGAAGGTATAACCTGATGTCTTAGAAGAGGAACAGAAAGAAGACCATCAGGTAAATTAACTTCAAGTTTTGGCTGATTGAGAACCTGCAAAAACCAAATGCTCATCAATTTAATCTTGATATGCATGTTAATTTATCAGCAACTTAAGATACAAAAAAGCAAACCTATCTAATTCTATCATTTACATTCACATCAAAAAGAAGAAAAGGGAGATAGAGGACAAAAGAATTGGGAGACCTGAAAAAGGCTAATTAACAACAGAGGTAAAACAAACTTAGAAATGAAAGATACATGATGATAATACAGCTTCTTCACCTCCAAACACACACCAAAAAAAAAAAATAAATAAAAATAAAAGAAAAACTATTACTTCACATGTCAAAGTTCACACATAGCTAACACTTGAACATTTGGTATACGCACAGAGACAAGAACCAAGAAACAAATAATTTAATTAATTAAATACTGATGCAAGATCGTAGAGAGAGCAAGGTTCAGATCCAATATCTATTTCCCAAAACTAAAATGATCTTCCAAGGAATACCTCCACAGCTGCTTGATATATCAATCTTTCATCATTTCCAGCAACCCTTTCTTCACTCATTCCAGGACGATAGACAGGATCTTTTGAACCAGAAAACTGAGTGGAAGAAATAGACCTTCCATGCATTAAAGATGGAGGAAGGATCCTACTCCCATTGTTTTCATACATCATAACTTCATCATTATTGCGTCCAATTGAATGGTCTCTCATATAGCTCTTGCCATTGTTAAAACTTGGGCCAGCTAAATGGTAAGAGTTTCCGTAAATATCACGAATCTGACTACTACTCACATTCTCTACAGAATTATTTGCTTTCATGCTTAGTCTAGAAAGCTGAATAGATGGTGGAAGAGTTCTCTTCAAAGCCTGTTGAGAAGACAGTCTCTCAAATTCTCTACCAGAACCATTAGCAATTCGAGAATTAATAGTCTGATGCAGATCCATATTCCCATTCCCTGTACAAGACATGGAATCATGCTGTAAGGGTACATGCTGATGTGAAGCTTTAACAGTAGAACCATGATAATTTGGAAATTTCATATTTAAATGGTTATTTATGCTTGAAGAGTTTAAATTATTAGATGCTTGTGCTCACTTATTAGAAGAAAACTATTGAGGCAGTCAACCATGATCTGCTAATTAAAAAATGCAATACTGTAAACCACATCATTGAACTTCTAGATACACGACAGGAAATTCGCAAAGCACAGCCTGACCTGTACTTCTTGAGTTTGTGCCATCTGTAACAGCCCACTGAGGAAGAACCCTAGAATTTGCAGAGTCCCTGAAAGATGATATATCTGTTTCTCCAGAATTTTCTGTCTCCAAGTCAAAGTCACTATCAGATGAACTGATCTCTATAGGATCCATTGAAACCACTAAAGCTGAATGGTGATGCTCCCTTTACTCCAAAGAAGTAGAAAACCAATACTTAAAAGGTGAGTGAAGCTGCTATTAAGAAACAAAATTACCATCTCATGAGTTGAGAGTAGCAAAAAAAAAAAGAGAATTTAGTAGTTTATCAAAATGAATATGTTGTAAAATCTTTTCACCTTTCCCTCACCAGGTTTCGAATGTCTTAAAATTAAGTTGCTAACCCATTTGCCCAAAAAAGAACCTCTCAGAGCTGAATCAATAAAACCACAACTCATGATTCAGAAATGCATATAGATAAGCAGGAAAGGGAAAATACAGAAAAACATTCATAAAGAAAACCACTTTTACAATCAGAGTTCAAATAAAAACAAATTTGCATACCATTTCTATTACTAGCAGGTGTGATTACCCTTGGTAACATCTTAAAATCCTCTTCAATGAAAAAATATTAAAAGAAGTACACTGACTACTCAATTCTCTGTGTCATTACACAAAACTAGGACTCATTCTCACCAAATGCTCAAAGAAACTGACCTTGAACTAAAGCAAATATGTGAGGCTATTACCACAAACTAATTTGGTGGAAATTGGCAAAAGAGACAGATATTTACTTGCATTAAAAGAATTTATCATCCTGTTGAAGTTCCATATTGCCATTAAATTATTCCATGACTAAGCTTTCGTAGAGCAATTTCAAACTAGGAAAACATTCTATATGCATAATATCAGCTGTAAGATAATAAATGGTAACAGCCAGACTTCTTTTGGTGCTCATAGTCCTCTCCTCTTGATGTTAACCATAGGAATGCATCTGAAAACTCTTTATTCCAGGATGAGCGTAGAGGCAAACAATCCTATGATAATCAACTTTGCTTGGATAGGCTAACAGCTACCATGCAAAACTTGCTTTCTCTTAACTCAAGCAAAAGTATGAAAGTTTTGAATTTAGAAAGTTCTGCTCTTTAGCTTACCCAAAAAAAAAAAAAATAAGAAAGTTCTTCTCTGTACCCAAAAAGAGAAGGCATTCAAGATGCACAATATAGAAAGCCCACCCAATTTCCAAACTAAGGATTCTATTTTAGAATGTCTCTGCTAAGAGCTACACAATCACAATGTCAACAACATAACATCTTGTCCCAAAAATAAATAAGCTAGTCTTTATACCGTCTGCCAAAAACATCACACACGCAACAACTTCACCCAAGGGTTCATTGAACCCCATTATTGACAAAAAGAGCACTTTTATTCCAGGGAATATAGACAAGATGACTCGTGATAATTCTGCCCACATCCCACAGGATCATCGAAAATCAAAAACACAACTTTTCTTTCATTTTACCCCCATTATTTTCCCCCTAGTCCAAAATTTTCAAAATTTCCCAACAACTCCTCAAACCCACAAAAACCCAAGAAAATAATTCGTTTCTTTGACATTATCAAGCACAAGAAATCAAATAAAAGGCAAAATGAAATACAAAACACAGCATGCAATGACCTAAGGAAAGCAATTCTGCTCTTAGGTTAGTGTTCAAAATTAAAATTTAAGATGCATTAGCAAACACCAACCGAAAAATCAAGTAAAAAACCCAGAGAAAAACAGATAAATTGAGGAAGCAATCGGAGAAGAAAATCCTACCTGCGGATGAGAATCCTCATTGGAGTGGGGATAAAGTTCAAACTTTGATATTAGGGTTTTGCAGTGAAAGCAAAGATGCAAGACCAAGAATCTCAAAATGATCGAACTGACCAGTTTACAAGCGTAAGAACCGAAGACAGGGCTGCCTAACGGTGACGTTTTGAACGAGGACGAAGATCTACGTGGAAGGAATTTTTTTCTGGAAAAATTAGAACGAAATTAATATTAACCATGGTTCAGCACGTAATAGGTAGATTGATAACACTCTGTTCTTCCGTTGCTTATTTTCTGAAAAATAATAATAATAATAATAACACTCTGTCCCATAAATAAAAATTAATCAAAATACTGTTAGAAGATATTGCATTGGCCTTAACCCCCTTTCTCTTTTCATTTAAAATAAATAATAGTTATAATAGATTATTATTTTTATAAAAAATTAGAGTTTATTTAATTTGAATTTTAAAGATATAGATTTAAAGTGTATTAAATATTTTTTTATAATTAATTTATATAAAAATAATTAAAATTAATTTTTATTTTAATATCAATATCATATAAATAATTTTAATTAATTAATTAATTAAATTTAAATTAATTTTTATCATTTTATATAGATTAATTATAAAAAAATGTATTTATTGTATTCTTATTCCGTGTTTAAGGGTAAGGGGACAAGATAAATAAATTCAAAAAATTAATATTAGTAGTCTAATTTTGTGAATAATTAATGGTTTATTTCTTGGGTTTGCTGACCGTCCAATTGTCCAATTACGACAGCCAAAAGTTCGCTCACTAGTTCTGTATGGATGTATGACTATCAATACCTATTATTTTATTAAAATTATTTAACAATTATTTTATTTAATTAATATGTTATATATTTATAGTTTTTTTATAATTAATTAATTATAATATTTAAAAATATTAATTTATAATTTAATTTTAATTTATTAAATAATAAATATTAATAATTTTAATAATCATTAACTACTTTTAATAGTAAAATTAAACAAAATTGAGTAACATAAGTAAAATGACCGTCATAAGCATAACCACACCCATTTCATTTGTGTTTTAAATTTATGATTCGATTCATTAACTACTGCTTTTAATGTTTTTATAGTTATCTCACTTTTAGGCTATAGAAGGATAGAGAAATATTAGAAAAAAATGTAAAAACACAATAATTAGATATTAAAACGTCATAATTATTTCTAATATTTTTCTTTACAAATAGATTAGATAAATATAAGATAATAGCATTTAATATTTTATTTAAATATAGAGTAAAACAACTAAATGAGAACACTTCAATAAAGTGAGACTAGGGACATTCATTTCTAATCTAATCCAATCGATTTGATTCAAACTGACCTAATCTAATAAAAAAATCAAATCAAACTGATATAAAATTGAATTAATTTGAATTATAAAATTTTAAAACCAATATAATTAATTTAGTTTATAATTTTACTTTTGCACTACCCAAACCACCAAATTACAAAATAAAACTTGATTATAAGATAATTTAATTAAATAATATAATATATTTTTTTAGTATTTTAATTTTTCTTATTTTACAAGATAATAACTTCATTAACTTAATTAACAAATAAAAAAAAACATCCTAATATTTCCTAATTTATTTTTCCTTTTTAATCATGCACTCTAACCCATAATTCTAAATTTTTAATTCACTTACAACTCTATTTCTCAAAATTGGTTTGCAACTCTACTCTTAAATCGTAAATTTCTAATTTATTCGTAAGATAATATTCTGATTCTTCTGACTAAGTGTTATAGAAATAGCATTTTAGAAGTCTTAAAATTACATAATAGAATTAGTCTTGATATTCTACTATTATTGGATGTTTGGTTAAAGAGTTTTAAATCTTGATTATAAATGTTTTTAATTAATTTTAGTAATATTCATGTTAAATTTTATTTGCTTTTAATAAGGTTTGGAAAATGGAATTGAATCATTGGTGCTGCATTAAGAAAAAAAAACTAATTTTAACTTTAAAAATTATTTGCACCGTACTTGAAACTTGGAGCCATCTTTCATTATTCTTAATGCATCTGTTGATGTAGTCAAGAAGAATTTCTAAATCTTTTTAATATTTACAATTGTAAAAGAGTAAAAAGAACTTATTTATAATTTGTGCTTTTATTATATTTCTATTTATTTGAATATTAATGTGTTTTATAGTTATATTTTCTATTTGATGTTAAATTTTTTTACATTATCTCATAAATTTAATAATGTTAAAAATCGATCAATCTGACCGAATCACACTAATCTGATTTAAGTTAGATTGAGTTGCTTATTATATAATAATGGATTGGTTTGATTTAAAAATTTTACTAACCAATTAAATTGGATTGGTTTAACAAATATTGAAATATGAATCAACCCACACCACAAACACCCCTAAGTTAGACATATAAATAGAGACCGAGGGCAAACTCTATTAAATTCATTTTACTAGTTTTTTTAACTAGTACCCTTAAATATAATAAATAGGTTTTTTGTAATTAATTTGTATAAAAAAATATAACTATTGTCTTTGATTTAATCAAGTGGCTAATTAAAATCATTAATATGTCAATGATATTAAAATAAATATCAATTTTTATATTTTTTATGTAAATTAATTATAAAAAATATATTCATGTTCAAAAAAAAATTATAAAAAATATATTTATTGCACTTTTAAGGCACAAATTAGCTAAACTTCTAGTTTACTTTCCCACTTTTTAAAAAGAGTTAGTTGAATTTACTTGTTAATTTCTCTTTAAAATCTAAGGTTAAAGTTTTCTTCTTCTTCTTCTTCTTCTTCTTCTTCTTTTTTTTAATTTTCCCTTTTTACTTCCTTCATTTCACAATAATAATCATTTTTAAGTCAAAATTTATTCTAAATTAATTGCTATTTTTTCATATTTTAAAGGTAACAAAAAACTATTTTTTATTTTAATCTCATTGTTGTCTAATTACTTTATTAATCAATGCTATAAAAAAAGTTCCTCTTTATCTTTAGCTCTTAAGAGTAGTATAAGCAAAAACATAAGATGTCCTCAAATTTTAAATTTAGAAAAAAAAAAGTAATAAAACAACCTCTTCTTTTTTGATAAATTTCAATAATTTTCTCTGTAATTGTGTTATACAAGTGTATCAAGTAAAATAGACCTAAAATAGTATTCACTTTTTTTATCACTTTAGTCTATAAAATTTATTTTATCTCATATTAGTCTAAGTTTTTGAGAAGCATCTCAAAATATTATAAAAAAAATCTAGATCTTATTCTTAGACTATGAAGCTTTAAGTGGATAGCTAGAAAAGAAATTGTGAATTTGTAAATGTAAACCTACACGCAAGTAAAAGAAAGGTTTGTTAGTGTGTGCATGAAGATAAGTCTTAGCATGCCCACTTTGACGCTAAATTCTCAACCATATTTTGGTGAATATAAGAAACGGGGAATGATGGAAAAGAATGAAAGTGTTTAGTTTTTAAAGAGAGGAAATTGCCTTTGGTTTAGGAGAACATCTTTTACAACACAATTATCTATCTTATATGAAGACTTAAATATAAATTGAACTTGTCATTATATGGGGCAAACTTATGAGAGTTTGTAAAGAGAAGCTAGAAACGCTCAACACATATTAGCCCCTCAAGGCTCCAACTATACACTAGCATAATCATCTAATACTTGTGAATATGTTTTATAGAATTTGAAATGTCATTATAGATGTTAATTAATAAAGCTAGTGTATAGTTATATGGTAAAAAAACTATTATGATTTTATTAGAACATAAGTGACTAACAACAATAATTTCCATAACAACAAAAGCTTGTTGTGATGAAGAAGCACTATGTATTTGAATTTGAACCTTATCATTTTCTTATAAAGAGTTTTACATTACTATTGTTACTAATTGCATCTAATGAGTGTCTATCTCCAAATCTACACTAGTCACCCTTTATCTATCTCGAAGGGTATCAACACCCTCAAAATAGGTGTTAGAATAATAGTTGAAAAGGTTGCCAATATTAAAAAAGTAGGTTAAATGGCTTTGAGGTTATTTGTAAGAACTAATACATAGGTGGAAATCTCAAAAGTAGAAAAGGAAGTCAAAAAACACTTAAAACACTATCATGAAAAAGTATTACACTATAACAATGATTAGTTCAACAATTGAAACTCTAGGGGCCAATAGTAAAAGTAAGAGGATTTGTACTACCTATATTTTGAGAGGTAACATTAATAGAATCAATAGGGTTATGAGCCTATGAGTGATAGTGTAAATAATGTAAAAAGGTACATTAAAAAACAAAAAGGAAAAAGAAAACCAATGGAAACATTGAAAAATGGCCTCTTCTGGCATTATTTTATACTAACAACAAATTTTCTAGCACTTTTTAAAGGACTAAAATACTATCGTGACAAAGGGTATCATGAATACCATTCTCCATGTTAAAATTTTAAAATAAAATCAATAACATTTATTATATTGAAAAACAATTAATCCTATATCTAAACATTATCATTTACCACGTCAGGTTATAAAATAAAAGAAAAAACATTTATTATATTAGAAAATAATGGATCCCATTTTAGAAACATTCATTTACTTATCAAACTTAACACATTTAGCATTTTAGCAATAGCTATCAATTTCTATTCTACTTTAATCAATTTAGCTTTAAGAGATATTGCAATAAATATGTTCAAACACAAGTTAAGTCAAGATCTTGCCACTGACTTAACAACTCATTAAGTCAAGATCTACATGTTTTCAAAAAGTTTAAACTCAAGTTATTAATAATTATTGGTCTCTATATTTATATACCAAATTTACTCACAATTCCTTATTGATGTGGGATTTAAGGCATTACAATCTCTTCCACTTAAACGCTTGATGTCCTTATAAAGTACACTTTCCACATATCATTAATTGAGTGGATGTATTCAATATCACAAGTTTTACACGAATAAAAAGAACCAATTATTGAAATGACATGTCAAATTGTACCAAAAAGTGGTACAAAAAGGTTGTCCCAAAATCATTTCCTTAAATAAAATTGGTTGACACACTTAAAAGCTTTTTAAACACTTCATTAAAGAATTCAAATAACCCACTTAAGCTAACTTTTA